TTGAGCCATTATAGTCGATCTCGAGGCTATATAATAATTTGTCACTCACGCCATGCCAACGTCCTATTCATGGTTTTGTGGTTTTGTTTACTATGCCTATCATCAACCTCGAGGGTTTTATCAATATCTCCATCTTCATAGGGTGTTTCAAAGTTTCGTAAGTGACTTTAATCACTCAGAGATCACTCAATACTTTGTGTTTCGAAATAAAACTCGGCCAAGAGTTGCATCAAAACATGTTGAGACGAAGCTGATCAAGACCAAGACGATACACGTTTGCGATGAGCTCCAAGCGGTACACCTTCGGCTCGCTGCCTCAACGCTGAGAAGGCACTGCGTCACCTGCGCGCGTCTGAATTCCCAGGTTGCAAAAAGTTGGTTGGTCCCTAGTGGATGGCCGTACCATGATGGCTTTGCAATGCTTGCTACCAATAGAAGTGTTCTCAGATCATACTATATAGACGGCCTATCTCACCTCCCGCAATCGCTTCAAGAGGTCCCTGTAAGAGCGGAGGAACCGAGAGCTGAAGATTCTCCAGTATTTAGCAGAACCCCCCTTGGTTAAGACTTTTGAAGACGTTTGACCCTGGTTTCGTGGAAAGCGTGTGACGACTGAGTCAGAACTCTTTTTATTCTGATGTTTTCCTCGACATCCAAGCGTTGGATACCACCTTGCGTCAGCTACGCTCTCCTTCTACCTATGAAGACGATCACAATTCGCTCAATGACATCATAGTTGCGGACTCCTCTCAAGTTACTTTACATGATACATCACAAGGCGAAGGATCAATGCAGGTGAGATAAGGGGGAGAGAATAGGTGATACGCCTGGAGTTCTTAACGGGCGTCATCCGTTGTCGGCGAACATGACGAATGGTGTCAGGCCGATCGCAGAGAGCCAGCTTTACCCAATACTCCAGATATTCCCAGGCCACAACCAGCATGTGAGTTCTCTTATTTTTACTTTATTACCGGGCCCCACCCTCTTGACGGTGATAGCCAGGTGTTGAAACCTGGTGGCGACTTGTCTAAAGAGTTTTTTTGGAGCAATAAAGCTTTTACTTCTGCGTGGCATCTGAGCACCATATAGATGGCAAGATTCATTTTCACGTTTCAACGCGCGCTGGTCGGAGGCGGAGGAGAATCTCTAAAGTGAAAACGACGCCTTTATATCGCAGTTAACTTTCAGCCGTTTAAGTCACATTTGTCTGCCTATGAATATTGCTGTAAGTCCGCCATTTTTGAGCGCTGGCCGTCTGGCTTCTCCAGCAGAGCCACTGCAAAAAGATATCTGCTCTAGTGACAGAAAGCGGGAGAAGCGACATCGCTGACTGGGTGGTGGCGAATAAAACTGAAACTGTCACACTGAGAGCTGCGAACCGGGAAAAGAACGTCAAAGAACTCTACTGGACGCGAAAGAGGAACCAGGCAGTATGCTGAACAAGATCTGGGCTCTCGAGCCGGCTGATGCAACACTACAACCAGAGTCAATGCCAAGAACGGCTATCCTCAAGTAGACAGCTAAAGTGGGTGCGTGCGCGAGCGATGGCGCAACCATTGGTCCTATTCAAAGCATCCTCCATAATATCTCTGCTGATTCGTTCGCCCATTGCATTGAAGATAGGCTCAAATGCGCCGCAGTTGCAACCACAACATCACTCTGTCCGGGACTTCGGCTTGGGGTAAAAGATACTTAGCAGAACATCTCGGATCGATTTACTAGTAATGCTGTTGGAATATCATCTGCCAGTTATCCACTGTCGAAATTACTTCACACAAGCCCCGAAATTATCATAGCGGATGACTTCAGAGTATACCAACACCAAAAAGAGCTCCAGATATCGGATTGCTTATGTTTCTAGAAGGGAAGTCGCCGACGGTAGTACCACTACCGAAGAGCTGAAGTAAAAGTGATGGTATCTTCTACAAAGACAGCCCTTGATTACCACAGTACCAGGCCCATTCGCGTGCCGGCATCTTTCCGCAGAACAGAATCGTATGCTGAATGAGAGATTTATATGGATTCCACTTAGCAATCCGATACAGATATCGAAGAGTAGACCTACCGGCATGTGGCTCTTGCTTCGCGAAATTTGTATTACCTCATACTCAATAATAACTTGCGAAAAGAATTTTCCGGAGTGCAGTATTGTAGTGCAAGCCGAAGTTTTCCCCTAAGCCATACTATAACTAACATGCGCGTAAGTGAGATATAAGCTTTATCACCTGTAAACCGTAGCCGCGTTAAACTTGCGTCGTGCGAAGCGGTTATGCCTTATGATAACATCCATGACAAGAGCTTGAGTCGCCTCAGCCCCGACGTTCGGGCCGCTTAAAAATTTGGCTTGGCAACCATGTATGCCCTCGAGCTGACTGCTTCCCCTGTAACAACGATATTCAGGTATTGTAGCATCAGGTTTGCGGAACTTCACAACCCCCACACTCTCGTACATGGGTAAAACGGATGGGGCAGGGTCGGACACGCAGCCGCCCCGAATGTGGCGCAACAGACAATATATACTTAGTAATTTGAGAGTTACATGTCACGTCAACGCATGATGCTATGCTTACCTGGTTCTGAAGGCATTTATCGAATCCTTCTGGACCTGGAGGGAGCAGTAGTTCCCCTTCCCACGAAACGGTGGTTTCTTGCAGAATCCACCTACGAGAGCACGCGTTGCTCACAGGCACGCTGCTCTGCTCTTGCGGCAGAGGAATTTGATGCCTCACATGACGATATATCCAAGATGGTGTTGCTCTTATTTTTTTGATCCAGCTTCCGCTGGATCTGGGATACCGAATGCTATCATTACCGTGTCCAGGAGTAGGCGCAGGTCTTGCTCGTTGATTTTGAACATTGCCTGAGAAGAGTGACACGTTTTCGGTGATGTATCGATGATGGTTAAAGCTCCTGCATGAAGCTCCCGTGTCCCGGGTGAGTCGTTCGACTACATGCCTTAGAAAGCCTCCACAATATATGGAACGGGTCCACCCGTACAAGTATCCCGGGGAATATCTCTTCCAGCATAGTATGGGTGCTACCATAGCACTGTTTATCAACTTGGTCGAGGACAGGGTAGGGCTCAGCGAGAGAGTGATATCTTTTCTTGAGGCCGACATATCACTCTTTTACTTGGACGTCTCCATCTGTTACAGTGAACGCGTGAGCAATGACTTCCTGGAATTCATTCATAACCCAAAAACTCCACTTCACCCCAGCCGCTGTGTCTATCTTATGCGCGAGCGGCCGCGTGTGATCAGCCCTCAGGATCCCTCCGTGGTAGCTCTTCAGTTCCTGGATGAGGCGTGGCTGGCGCTCCATGTAATCATGTACATACAGCGACATCATATTTTCCCGGCTACGGTCCGAATCCGGGACATTCCAGCCATTTTCATCACTCATTCTGCCAAAGGACCGGAAGCCCCCCACTGGCGTCCTAGCAACCTGGAACGATGACAGCCTGTCGCTTGACTTTGTGTCAAGCCACTCTTGGCAGTGTAATTGATATCGGGCACGAGTTCCTAGGTATACGGTCTGCTGGCTCTCTAGCAACCGTGCAGAAAAAGCCGAGGATCCCCCAGTGGCCGATAACGTGCGCAACTCGGCAAGCAAGTCGCGGCTCATTGCCTTGCGGTAAGTGAATACTGCTGTGATCCGGGGGTAGTTAACCGAGAAAACTTGCATGGAGGGGAACTGAACCTGAGAGCCTGTTTCTTGTCTGCTGTGTCATCGCTCGAAGGGTCTGATCCATCTTTAGCTTCTACCACCATGTCAAGCAGTGTAACGGAGCCTTTTACAACTCACGTAAAATATGCCTGTCCTTGATATAACCTTTCTCGGGGGGAGTATTCCGCTATGTCGTATAGTATGAGACGAATCACGCATGCACGGCAATGAATCACATGGTCCTTGGTGTGATCTTAGCTTCGCCCATGTACTGTGTTGGGGCCGCCAGTAGTAAAAAGGCCATAGCTGATATATGCTCAAGTTGGCCGTCAAATCATTCAGGGCCGAAGGATCAGGGGGGTAGAACCACCCCCAGCATGATCAGAAGGAAGGTCCTCGATAGTGTCTTTCATCCACGCTTCTCGACCCTCGCTCGTCCCTGGCCAACACCAGGTTGAATTATCGCACCATCGCCTAATGGCAGAGATGGCAGTGAAGGATCCTCTAACGCTACCTATAGTTCACAAGAAAGAGCCGTATTTTCTTTTGCCTGCAGGCCGTGACCATTTCGACCTTTTTGAGCTTGCACACAGCCAGTGTTGCCCTGTTTGACGGGCCTCCCGCTAGCAACCTCGGGTGGGCCTGGATTAGCTCTTGTGGGAACCGAAGTGATGCTGCATGGCTGACGTTTTCCGGCGGTTCCAAGTACTGCTCGTGGTCCTCCAAAATAGAGCGGCGGCCCTCCACATCTCGTACCTCGAGACGGTCGAGTTCTGCTGCTGGATTTTCACAACTGCTGATCCTAGCTTGGAGCCAGCGCAAGAACTTGCGCTGTATACTGGTTGCCGGCCCGTGAGTAGAGTTCCTTAGCCTCCCCATGAAAAGGAGGTATGCTCCTAGTTTCCTTGCGGGACCTTCGTTCCAGAACTGTTCATGAGTAAGCTGAGCTTCTTGACCGAAGCCAACCTTATAATGGGACCAAGAGGTATAATGCCAAGGTGCCACGAAAGTACGCCCGCGCTCTTTGTCCAAGGTTGACAAATGCTGTCCAGCCGTTCCATCTGACTTTAAGCCTGAAAATGCCAATATGTCTCTGAACCGTAATGTGACGCGCGCCACCGTGCGTTGCGTATCATGCAGTGCATGAACCCGAGGAGCGTCGCAGTAAGTTCACCTGTAGTTGAGGATGGGGAGCTCTATGTGAAAAACATGTCCGGTTGGTTGCTTCTCGTCTCAAAGCACGCATGCTCTCGGGGTGGAGTAACTCGGCCTTAACCGCGAGCCGTAAGAATCGTCAAAGTTCCCCAGGGGTCGGCGCTTCACTTTACCTCGTTGCCCAGATAGCTCACTTGGGAGAGCGCCAGACTAAAGAGTGATCCAGAGGGATCTGGAGGTCCTCAGCTCGATCCTGGGTCTGGGCATATGCTAGGCTTACAGATTCGAAGTTAAGAAGCCTTTCTGAACGACGAGATTGAGGATTCCGCCTCTCTCGGAATTCCGGGAGTCACACGTATGTTTGAGTTTGGCTCAATTCAGATGAACTCAATGTACTTGCTGATCTTCCTGTACAAAACGGATATCCTTCGCAAAGGCTTGCGACGCAAACAACAATTTGGCTGTGAGGCCCGCATTGTGAGTACGACGGTACTCGACCCGTGGAGGAACACTCCACTGTGGAAAAAATCAAGAAAATGTCAAGCAAGACTTTTAAGCCTCGGTAGCTCAGTCGGCAGAGCGCCTTTTAAGGCCTTTAAGTGCCTTTTAAGCCCGTGGCCGCGGATTCGAGCCCCGCCCGAGGTGGGTAGCTTTCTATGTATCTCGATAGTGATGCACGAGGCATGATGCGGAAGGTTAGGCGGAGTGAATGAACCGCGTTTTTCGATTTCCATACTGCAGCAACACTGCTTCACTCTTTCTCGGGCCATCGGCGCCTTTCTGCCAACACCCAACTATTTAGG